GAAACACGGAGCCCGCGCAGCATGCGGCTGCATTCCGAAAGTGCCTCCATCGGCATCACTCGTTACCCTGCGTTCACCAGAGGATCTGGGGCTGCCTGCCACTTTTCTGGTCCCTGCGGCAGATGTTTCCCTGTCCCTATCTCAGCTCTGACCAGCATAGTGGGTCATCTCGGCCTCGAATACACCCAGCAAGCTGAAAAGACACAGTCTGTCCCCTTTGCACACCCTTAACTCGTGGCAAAGAGCAGTTCAGGTGTCTGAGTGCTGCAGTGGGTTTGCAGAGGGCCGCTGCACTTGCTTCTTGTGCCATGAAAAAAGTAACTATTTGGTTTTAAATTTTCAGACCTTACCTTGAATTTCAAAATGGAGCTTGACATCCAGTGCGAGGAGATGAACCCATCTCGATGGGCTGAGCTGCTTTCCATCATGAAAACCTGCAAGGCCATCAGGTAGTAACTAGCTGCATATGGTCTCTTCTGAACACTTGACTTTTCTCCTGTGAGAAGAGATGCAAGAAAGTTTATTAAAAAAAAAGTTTGAACATTTTTTGATACAAGTGCCTATGGGTGGCACTAATGACACTGTTGTGGTATGGCCTATCCACTTGACTAGGTAGAGCCTTCTTTGTTTATTTAAATATGTGCTCACCATTGTGGTACTTCTGTCCTTGTTTGCAGTAAGATCCTCCAGAGAAGGCAGGCATCTTTCCAAGTTGCACTCTGTGCGCGGCAGACCACATGCTGCCAACTGTTAGTTAGAACTTGTGATGAGGTCCCGGCACAGCCCAGTTGTGGCAGTCCTGGTTGGGAATGGCCTGGAGTTGGCAGGTTCGGCAGGACATCCTCCTTTTCCCTCAGGGTACTCCTCCCTCCCTTTCCTGCCCTGTCCCAGGTTCCCACTTATTTCTTCAACTCTCCTTCCAATTTGACATCTTCCTTCTACCATCTTGCAATTTAGCGGTGCCTAAAAAATCCTGGGTTGCAGAAAAGCCCTATTGCTCAGCAGATCTGCTGCAGACTAAACGTCACATGAAGTCTGCATGAGCCACGTGTATGAGGCCCAATTACTGATGGGTGTCTCTGGGACTGGGAAACCTAGCTACTCACCTGGTTTATCTAGTCTTGGTGCACAACTCGTCTGTCAGTCTATAAATTGCCCTCTGGGCCTCAGACACTGGATAGTTTGCCATCAGGGAAGTTTAAATGAAGATACAGCTTCAGGTTGAAGCCCTGCTTGGTGGAGAAGACCCGAGTCACTTGTCCTCTTCTGCACAGCACAGCAAAGCCTGCAGCTGGTGGGACCAGCATCTCTGCACCAGAGCCCTGCAGAGAGGGCATTTCTTCTGCCCCCTTGTACTAGTGGACTGGGGCATGCACTGCCCAAGCAATCACACACGTATTTAGAGATATTCCAGGGACAAAACTGCCTCACTTGCTTTAGCTAGAGGAAGCAGAGCGAACGTGGGACTAAGGTGCTTCTTCTGTCCTCCTCTTTCAGGCTGGATGACTGTAATCTCTCCAGCAGTGACTGCAAGGACCTCTCCTCCATCATCACCACGAATCCATCCCTCACAGAGCTGAAGCTGAACAACAACGAGTTCGGAGATGCAGGCATCGAGTACCTGTGTAAAGGCTTGCTGACGCCAAGCTGCAGCTTGCAGAAATTATGGTAACACTTTACTGATTGTCTGACTCTGATGTTCTCCTCTAAGGAGCTTTCCAGGTGCTGTGGGTAGAGTCGCAAGCCAACGTGATGCTAGCAGCAGAGCCCCATCAGGGTATATCTGCAGTGACCGTGATGTGCAGTACTACAGGAGTAACACAAGTCATTCTTCAGAGAGCTTGTCGAAAGCCCCAAACTTCCCCAAAGCCCTAAGTGCAACATTCATAACTCATAATTCACAGGAGTTACGAGTTTCATTTCTATAGGGACACACTTCTGTTTGTCCATCTGGGACTCCGGTAACACGTCTTAAGGGAAAAAAAGGAGCAATCAAAACCAAGCCACACTTACTGCCACCACATGCAGTGCTTCTCCATAATCAAGTCCGATAACCCTAAACACTCCATAGTGATAGCACAGACGTTCCTGTGCAACGTCTCTCTTCACCCAACTTCACTCAGTACACCCACTTCATAGACCCCTCTTGCAATACCCCCCAAAGCTCCTACGTGATATCCAGGGATTTAAGCCAGCTTGGCTTGTATTTTTTACTTTTAGCTGCTTGGGTTCACCTCTCCAGAGGAGCAAGGAATTGCAAAGTGCCCTTGCTTTCTCTCTGGGGTAAGCCTTACGCTGATGAGAACACATAATAAAACAGTTATGTTGCTATTTAATGTAGGGAGGATCATTCTGCCAGACATGGTAAATGAGCAATTATTTTTGAAGGAATATGGATCCACTCTTAGTACTGCAGGTGTAACATTAGCTTTTAAAATATTTGGGGATGCCTGTAAAATCAGAGTACTTACCTGGACACGCTGCTCGCTAAAAGGTTAAGAGCAAACTACTGTTGGTACCGCAGTGTCTTTCCAAAGCCAAACCTCAGCAGATGCTCCGAGAAGAGCCCCTACAAAATCTGGGGGTGCAGTGCTCACCCACGTTGCTTCTCTCCTGCAGGCTGCAAAACTGCAATCTGACAAGCGCCAGCTGCGAGACTCTCCGCTCCGTCCTCAGTGCGCAGCCGTCGCTGACGGAGCTGCATGTGGGCGACAACAGACTCGGAACCGACGGCGTAAAGGTGCTCTGTCAAGGGCTCATGAACCCCAGCTGCAAGCTCCAGAAGTTGCAGTAAGTCCCTGGCTGTCTCCAAGCTTGCCTAGAAACTGCTTTTCTTTGGTCACCCGACAGTTTGCGCTTGTCTCGCCCTCCGGACATTTTGTTTGCGCTTGTCTCGACCTCGAGACAATCAGGAATGTTGCTGCCAGAATTGGATTTCTTCCTCTTGTATCTGAATGTGGGTCATACGTACTCACGTTATGGGGCCCAGGTAGTTTGTAAGAACTCAGCCTCTATTTCTGGAGGCCTTGCTTAGCCCACTTGGCAGTGGTGGCTCTTAATCCAAGATGTCCCTCGCTCCAAGGAGAAGTCTGATTCTCCTTGGTGTATATTTTATGGCTAAGCTGGACCCAGGTCTGCAAACGGCCTCTGACTAGCAAGGCAGAGCTGCTGTTGGGAAGGCCCAGTTGCAGGCTGTGCCGCGTGTTGCAATGCAAGACTCATTCATACTTATTCATTTCTGCACTGCTTTATTGAAGAGTCAGTGTAGAAGCGGAGTAAACAACTAGTCCTGCATGGTCTCCCGAGATCCAATTCAAGAAATCCTGCCCTCTGAAATGAGCAGGGAAATTTAGTGGCTCAAGCGTGTTTATGGTTATCTTTATTTTTATGTATTGTCTGGTCTTAATTCACAGGCTCAAAATAGCATGTTTTCTGCCTTGACTAACGCACACCTTGCATAACTAATGTCATGCAAGTATATATACGATATAGCAGAGACAGTTGTTTTTCCCTGGATTTCCTTTCCCCTCCCAGGCTGGAATATTGTGAACTCACAGCTGATATCGTGGAAGACCTCAACGCTGCTCTGCAAACCAAGCCCACTCTGAAGGAGCTCAGCCTCAGTAACAACACGCTGGGAGATACAGCTGTAAAGCAGCTGTGCCGGGGACTGGTGGAAGCAAGATGCGACCTGGAGCTTCTGCAGTAAGGAAGAGCTGGTCACCAATAACTGCAACTAGCGCTGCTGTTCCTGCCATGCATAAAATGGGAGAATTTGTTGTTTAAAATTTAGGATGGCTTTTTGCTGCCTCAGATTTCTGTAACTATACAAGCTACAAACATATCTGGGGCTTTGAGGTTTTTCTAAAAACTTGTTTTAGCATGAGATTTTGAGTTTACTCTTACATCTACTGATACCGTAAGAATGTTTGCCCCAACTTAAAGTTACAGATGGTTTGTAGCAAGAAACCATTCCATAGCCCTTTCAGTCTGCATTCGGCGGGATGGACTGTGCCTGATACTGTGTGTCTGGTGAAGCAACTCAAACTGTGCTTATTTCTGCAGCCTGGAGAACTGTGGAATAACCAGCGATAGCTGTCGGGATATTAGTGCTGTCCTCAGTAACAAGTCATCCCTTATGGATCTGTCCGTGGGGGATAACAAGATCGGGGACTCTGGTCTGACTCTGCTGTGCCAAGGACTGCTGCATCCCAACTGCAAAATCCAGAAGCTATGGTAAGGGAAGGCAGAGGTTAGAGCCTTGATGCTTAAATCGCTCTGAGTTGTCTACGTTATGTTGCAGCTCTGTCCCTGACTGGTAAGCAAGTTTTTCAGTTACTCCCCCTAGTGAAACTAAGATGTCTCTACCAGAGGTAAGTTATTTCTCAGATCCAAAGCAGAGGATGCTGGGCCTTTCCCTGTGAGTAGGCAGGACTGCACTGAAACCGCTTGGACTGAATCCTGGGCAGACAGGGGTGGCAGCTGGTGATGGCAGTGCCCTGTATTCCTGTTGAGATGAGACGTTCATGCTCTTTCTCTGTTAAAAATGGCAACTCCAGTACGGAAAAAGGAAAAAGCCAGAAAAACCTCTGTGCTACAATACACCATTGGGTTTCCTATAAGAAACTTAGATGCTAAAACCAGATATTTGGAACACTAAAACAGGACCCTGTCTTCTGGTGTAAGTAATTCTTAGGAGAAATTAATATTTTGTTTTTCCCTGCAGGTTATGGGACTGCGATCTCACAAACATTAGCTGTAAAGATCTCTCCGGAGTCATCAGTTCCAAAGAGACTCTCGTAGAAATAAGTCTGATAGACAACAACCTGAGAGACGCCGGCATGGAAATGCTGTGTCAGGCACTCAAGGATCCCCGAGCCCAGCTCCAGGAGCTATGGTGAGCTGCTGGTGCTTTCACATCTCCTCTGCCTTCTTGTGAGACCTTACTAAGGAAAGACAGAGGGGAAGTGATGGCTCAATAAGTAAGTCCTCGGTTGTGATGACCCCACAGACAGCTCATGCAGATTGTTACCTAAAAGATGTACAGATCTAAGGGGATGTGTATTTCTCAACTCAAAGATGCTTTAAAAATCTGCCTCACAATCATCTTGCTATAAGCAATAGGGAGCCAAGCATTACTTTAAAAGCTTTTGTCTAATGTATTTCATTTTGCCACAAAGAGCCACTTAAGAGATTTTGTGCAAGACATTTAAAAGGTGTTAGGCAATAGCAAAATGAACACTGTCATCAACTATCCAGGCTCACTACTGGAATCCAAGCTCTCTCATTCATATGCCATAGAAAGCTTGTATTTCAAGTGCTCTATCTCCAGGTATAAGTTTTCCTTCTGGGAGGAGAAGAGAAACAAACTCCTTCCATGAAAAGGTAGCTCCAAGCAAAAAAAAAAAGCAGTCAATGGAATGTACAACCGCTTCTTCTCATTAATGGAAAAAAAAATCAGCCCACATTACAATCTAGATCTAACCTGAGAAGGCTTCAGTGACATAAACTTTTCTTAGCATCCTCTCCCACAGCGTTGTCTTTTAGATTGCAATAGTCTGACCTAATATTGTCCAGAAAGGAGAACTGTCCTTTAAGGCAGAACCTAAAAAAGCGACACTTGAATTTTCCTACTTTGCAAGTTTACCTCCTGCATCTGGGTTCTTCCCCTGCTTCCAGGGACTTGGGAATTTGTGAGGTGCCCTGAGGGTGAATGGAGGAGCTATGGTGACTGCAAGAGCAGCACGTTCCATCTCTGATCAAGAGTCTTTTCCCATCCTTTATGGGCAGGTGTCCTTTATCCATGCAATCTCGAAGACAAACATCCTAGATGTAAGCAGTAGGAGAAGTGATGCTTGGAAAGGATTGGGCTGGATAGAGGTACTGTGATTTTGGGAAGGCTTTAGTTTGTTTGTGCTCACTGTCCTGGATCCTGGGAAACCAACATGGAAGAAGTGAGCAGTGGCTGATATCCCCTCCTTCCCTGGAGTTCTCACTGTATTCTTGCCTTGCAGGGTGAGAGAGTGTGGGCTCACGACCGCTTGCTGCAAGGCAGTCAGCTCTGCTCTCAGTGTGAACAAGCACCTGAAAATACTGCACATGGGTGAGAACAAGTTGGGAGATGCAGGCGTCGAACTCCTGCGTGAGGGGCTGCTGCACCCAAACTGCAACATCCAGTCGCTGTGGTAAGGTGCACCCACAGGAGTCTCATCTCTGATTGATGTGTGGTCCTTCCAAGAGCAGCATGCAGGGAGGGACAGTGACAGGCAGTAGCATAGTGTTTGTTTTTGGCACGCAGGAAACAATTCATAGCACAAGATGATGTCTAACCAGACCAGTCCCATCTGGAAGCCACAGCTGTGTGGCACGGCCGCATTCGCTGTCACTCGCGGCCCCTCACAGGCACAGCCTGTCCCCTACGCTGTGCCGTGGTGATGGACTCGCACAGGCTCTCCCACAGCTGCAGAGCTCTTGGTTTGTGCTGCAGGGTAGTCACAGATCCAAGGTGAGTGCGGGATCCCTCGCTTTGGGAAAGCCTGCTCTGCAGGCAGCTCGCTGAAGAGCGCTCCACATCCTGCTCTGGATTTGCTCGCGGAGCCTCTTTCATGGAGATGCCGAGCCAGAGAAACAGTCCTGGTCTAGCACATGAACTCCTGTCAGAAACCTGAAGCGCTCTAGTGTCCTGCTGAGTGCAGTAAGTAAGTTAACTGGACAGGACCTAGGAGACAGAGAAGACTCGAGACTTCCACCCAGAAGGGTATTTTTGCTGACCAACTAAAACAGCTTGTTCTTAACTAAGAGGTCTCTGTTGCCGTTTTCACAGAGGTGGTTACCATAAGCGGGTGTGCATGTTGAGAGAGCATTAAGCATGATGTTGAAATCTGCTCCTGAGTATCATCTCATGCTTCCTTCTACCCTGCACACCAACACACTGTTACACTTTAGGGAAGATCTCCTGAGGCATCCATCGGTCACGCAGAAGGCTTCTGTCTTCAGAGCACATCCTCCATGTGGAAACCATGTGCTAGCCCCAGCCTTGCAGATAGCAGCTTCATGAGGCTCCTGGTCTGTGCCAGGAGTGTTCCCGCCTGCTGCCTGAGCTCAGGCTGCTCAGCCAGCGCCAGCTCTCATGGCACCGACCTCTCTTCCCCTGCAGGTTGGGTAACTGCGATCTCACAGCCGACTGCTGCACAACGCTCGCCACAATCATGGTCACCAAGCAGTGTCTTACAGAGCTGGACCTGAGCTACAACACGCTGGAAGATGACGGCATGAGGAAGATCTGCGAAGCCTTGAGGAATCCAAACTGCAAGTTGCAGCAGTTAATGTGAGTGATGTTGCCAGGCTTGCTTAGCATCACTCCTGGCAGCAGGGAGATCAGGCATGGGGGAAAGGGGCAGCAAGCACGGCCTGCTCTGGGAACCACCTCCAAAAGGCAACTGGTGGCCCCAAAGAGAGTCAAACACCATTTGCATGTTACAGAAACTCCCTGTCCCTTCCAAGGGACATGACCTAGTGGCTTAATTCACATGAGTCTCCAAGGCCCAACAGCCATGAAGTGGGAATGGCTGGGAAGGGTAATTCCGGGTATGTTGTTGGCTGCTGTCCCAGGTGATCCAGTGTAGCTGTTGTGATCAATGTGTCTGCTTCTCGTTCTGCCCATTCTTTCCCTGGCGGCCAGGGTGCTCACTAAACCATCTTGCCTTTTTGTTTTGGTTTAGCTTGTATGACATTTTCTGGAGTGCAGAGGTGGATGATGAACTAAGAGCCCTGGAGGAATCCAAGCCTGAATTGAAGATCATCTCCTGAGTGGTGACTGAGTGGTGACTGACTGGCTGCAGAGCCAGGTCAAAGCAATGTTCTCTTTTTAATCTGAACTTTTCATTTATAAGGCTAATTAACTTAATATAGAACATGCTTTTACCAAAAAGCATTCATGGAGTCCCTGCATGGTTGCCCAAGGAGTTGAGAAGCCTCTTGTGCATCACTGCATGTACTAAATCTGAGGCTTAATAAAGCTTTCTAAGCTTTCACTGCTGCAGTGCTATCCTCAAACTAAACACTTACTGGGCATCTGCTCGAAGTGGGTCTCTACCCTTTAGGAGCTCTTTAATCCCTCCTAATTCCTCCTAATGTATTAGTCACCCTTTAAGGAGAGCTAAAGCAAAAGAACTGCCCACTCTGTTATTACTGGCTGGTGCTTTTGCCAGATCTCTGAAGAAAGCTCTCCCAGACCAACACAAATGTGTTTTTTAGACTAAAATTGAGCTCTCCACTGATTTTGCTAAAGGAGTTATTGGAAAAGTAGTGGTGGCCAGAGAGCTAGAGAAGAAAGGGAATGGATATTCAGCTACTTGACTTATATATTAGCTTTCCTTGAAAAATGATTTTCCCCCAAATGAAAGATGCTGTGCATTTCTGCTAGTACTGGGAATAATAATTCCCAAATGGTTTGATACATTTGCTCTGGTAAGAACAGTTCTACAAAACATATTAAAATCTGTTTGCAAATAATTTAATGCTTCATTTATTTTATCTATAAAAAGATAAATAAGGGCGGAGCCATAAAGGCATGAGCCATTTTTACGTTAAGACCAGTCAATTGCTTTTGACCTGGATCCTGGTAAAGCTGGTTGGTTTGGGATGACTCCACTGTGGACAAGCAGAGCCCAGGCTGTCCGGGAGGAAGGAGCAGAACTGCCCTGAGTCCAGGCGTGGAAATCCCCAGGAGTCCACATGGGACAAGGAATGAAAGACACACAAGGGAGAAATGGAAACACTGAAGGAAGCACTTTGCCTCCTTTCTTATCTCCCTCAGAGCTCCTGCCCTGTAACATCCATGTAACTTTGCACCATCTTCTTTCTCCTGAAGGAGAGAGCCCTTCCTGCGCTTCACAGATGACTCAGTGTCTCCAAGCATTTAAAGCCATTTAAAGGGGCTTTCAGGCTCGCCATACTCGTGCAGTGAGATAATACAGAGAAGTGTTTTATTACATGGAGGTGGGACTGGCACCAGCCATAACAGCTGTCAGTGCAAGGCTTCCCAGAAATCCAAAGAATGGCAGTCATTCCATGCAGTGTTTGTATTTTTGCAAAGAGCTTTTGCTTCACGCTTCAGGAGAATAGTGCTATAAATTAAGCAGAAAAGTATGTATTCGTATTTCTTCAGAAATATGTTAGGTAGGTTTACCTTTTTGTTTATATGACTGATTTTAAAGTAGGAATAAAAACCCAGGAAAGAAACACAACAGAAGATGGATAAAATAGGGAAGTTGATGGAAAGAAATTGAGTATGTCTGGAAAGCTCACAACATGACACATAAACAAAAGTGAAAATCTAACAACACTCAACTTGAGAAGTTTAAAAAACGGTCAGTAGATTTTGTGTAGTACCTCTGTGAATCTCAACACTAGGAAAGAAAAGATGGGATTGGAGCCCCAGTCAAGTGGGAAATATGTGGCAATGGGAGCTGGATCACGTAGGGAGGAGAGAGGCTGTAGTCGTTACCTAACAGGCCATCCAGAGAGCCCATCCCACACTCTGCGCTGCGCCTGGAGAGCAGGACCCCACATTCCTGCCACGCATCAGGCTGTTACACCGGGTGGACTGTGTTTCCGGGCACGTATCTCCACTTATATGCATAGAGAGACGGGAGGTTTTGCATTGCTATTTCCTGTAATTATAGGTAGACTTCAGCTCTGTGACTTTTAAGATGTAATTTTTCCTACTTCCATTCACCCAATGGATAAAGTAATTCTTCCCTCAGAGATGGTATGAGAATAACTTTTCTCCTACTCGTGGAAAGTGAGCAGGAGCCTTGTTCTGGCATTGATGCTAGCACAGCCGTACAGCACACGCTTCTGGACGGACACGATTCCACCAAGTGCCCTCCTAATGCAACGGAGTCGTATCAGGCACGTGTGTATCCACATCTGCCCCTTCCAACGTGGCACCCCCCTCTTTACCCTGTCAGGTTGCTGAGACGCCGTGGCAGTGAGTTGTGTTAATGCTCAGCTTGAGAAGGGAGTACCAGGGCATACAACTGTGCTCAGTAAGGACTCCTGTGGTATTCTAGCATACTGGGTGCAAAAGCACTTCTGGTACACAAGTTCACAGTAAAAGGGCCTAAGTGGAGTTTTAAAGAGTTAGCATTTCATCCAAGGCAGACATTTCCATTTACTATGCCCTAGGTGTGCAGGTTTGCTCCTTTAAAAACAGATTTCAGAACTCCAGAATGAGATCTTTCCTTTAGCATTAAGTGCCTTTTAGATGCTACTGTTTTCCAGAAGTAGCAACACTCCAGCTTCTGTTACAATCTTAATTTCAAGGACTGTGTTGCAAATGTGCAGGATTCAGATGGAGTATTTGCTCCTCCTTACGTAATTCAGCCATGTGCATCCTGCCTTTTGGGCCCTACCTAATATAACTTTAAATTCTTCATTAGAGTCTGATATTTCACATCTATTCCTCTTCTTATATTCATTTTAATAAACATTTGCAGCCAAAGTCTAAACCCTCAGATGCTGAAAATCAGCCCTGCTCCTCTGACTGAGTACAACTATGTCAGCTGCACAGCTTCTGCAACGAGCACGAACTGTAAAGCAGGAGGGGTGCACTCATTTTAGGCGGTGTGCGCAGAATCTGGTGTGCAGAGTGAATGGGAACGCTTAGAGAACTGAGTTATGTAATTCATCTATTCTGGGGATTAGCCATCCCCGAAGTTCTGAAAAAGGTAACTGGGTTGGGTTATTTATAGGCTCTGTTCCTACAGTCACAGCACATGCTAGCATGGAACAAAAACAGTTAGCTCAAGCCACCTCCTCTGCAAACACCTTCAGAAATTTATACTTTCCCAAGCATTCATGAAACCCCAAGATATAAAGAGATTTGGGCGGGGGGAAGGGGACTAGGATGCTGCTACTGCCTCAGAAGCTGTTTTCACATTACCATGTCCAGTTTCCTGTTAGCTTCTGACTGTACTTTTTTTACCTCCACTGGACTATACTGTGAGATAGGGAGATCACAATGTAAAACAGAGGGTAGTGGAAAATGCAGGCAGAAATACAGGATTAGGTCCTCCACCATATAGCATTCTATATTGCCATTTAAGCACAGTACAAGCTAAGAAAACTTCGATTTGATAGCATGCTAGCCCAAAACGCACTGGTTAAAATGGCAATGTGTGGTGCACAACAGTGGATACCTGGGTCTTTTGCAAAGAAAAAGCAAGATGAGGAGTCTGAATTTCATATGGAGGGAGAGAAGCAATTTAGGAAAGGATTTCAGCAGAGAGTTAATTTAGAACTAAATGTAATAACAAAAATTTTAATTTAAGGTAGCTTGATGAGAAAATAGAAAAGTAGATATCAGCAAGCAGAAATATACAAAATCTAGAGAGATATGCTGAGTTACTTTGGAATAGTACAAGCTGATTCACAAGAGCTACCATTAGAGCTAGTAATGATAATGCTCTCCTCCTTTGAAAGTCCCACTAGAAAAGGCAAGACTGGTGATCTTTGATGCCCAAAGCCATATTTTTCCTGAATAAAGACACTATGAGAGAAACATGGAAACCAAAGCAAATAATTGTTAGCCACTGAGACCCACACATCTTAACACAAAGTGCATTTTATCACAGACCACATTGTCAAGAGACCCATTGTCACAGAAAGGAATGCAGTAAAAAGCAGATCAGAAGGTGACCGATGTTCAAATTGCATAGAAGGTGCTAGATTGGTCAGGAATTACTGTAAGAATTTAATTCTAATATTGACACTTTTGGAAGACCTAAGAAGAAAAATAAGTTCTGAGAGAATTCTCAAATTCTCAAAATTTGAGAAAAATAATTAATAATTATTAAAATTAATAATTAATTCCAGAATCTGATGTTGACAAGTATTAATAATCTGCCTAAATTAGAGAAAAGGATAGATCAAGTAAGTGTGGTAAAAGACTGAAAAAAATATTATCCCTTCAGAAAATGGAATCTATTACAACTAAATATGTGAATTTAATGTGATTTAATTTGTCATAAATCTTATATCTAGATGCTTTCATCTATCTAATTTTGTTTCTGGGACAAAGTCTTCAGTGTATAACCTAAAGCATTTCATTTGCCATAATTACATCTTGAATAATGAAAAGCTCTAGATAAAATAAAACTTCCTTTTTATCCTCAGTAACATGATTATTGGAGGTTCTGCATCTTATTCCATGTTGCACAGCACTTAGAACAATATTTTCTTTTGTAATTCAAGTAAAACAATGATTTTTGCAAGCTATTTATTTTTCTTGTTTTTCAACTAACATACTATCATCATCTGCATTTTTTTTCAGGAAATTGAAGGAAAGGTCTAAAATGTCATAATTCATTTGTAATCTGAACTTGTCATTCCCATGAGATTTCATCAAGGTCCAGGTTGCTTACTTAGAGATTATCTGTTCATCTGCAGTGACTGCAAAAAATATGGGAATATGAACTTGAACTGTCTTTTCAGTAGAAAGAATGGGAAAATATGTGCTTGGCTGCAAAAAACATGCAGACCTTCTTAGTTCCATCCTATGTCATCCTGAGTCCTGTAAGACTGTTTTATGCAAAATTAGCACATTCACTCTCATAATGGTTTTGTTAGATCAAATCAGATACTGATAGGTATCTGCTGCTCCCCAGCTCTCACTTTCATGGATGACATTAATACTGATATTTAACTACTTAAACCTTTTTTTAATAGATGCATTGATTAACTTTAAAATAATCAGTTTTATAGACTGTGCAGGCCTGTGCCTAAGTGTGCAGATATATTCCCAG